CTGGCTTCCCCGTTCCCATCCCTGCACACCCCATCAGTCTCGTTTGTGCCCGTGACGAGGCACAAACACATCCAGATGTAACACACACAAAAAGCTGAGTGACGTGCCCTTGCAAGTTGCTTACTCAAAGTGAACAGGGTAGGATGCCAGCTCCTTGGCTCAAGCTCTTCCTGTCTGTCCTCCTGCCTGTTCTTAGAGCAATCCCTTTGCGCAGTGTTTTTGCATCAGTGAGCGTCCAGCTTGCATGGTTGAAGGGGAGATCTGATTCCAGCGCTCCTCTCACCTAACCTTTTGAAGCGCTGCCTTGTGCAGCGCGCTGATAAGAGCAGAACAAAAATGCGACTATTTCTCGCCAGCACGGAAGCAGCACCAGAAGCGTGTTCCTTTGTTGCATGCGTTATACTGCGTTACAGCAATGGGAGACACTTGCAGTGAAAATGCTCAGCGCTGTTTCCAGCTAACTCATTTTGGCTGGAGCGAGAAGTCCTCACTCCTCTCCTTGATCTGCAGTTAATTTGCAGATGCAGCTTAAGCTTGTGTGGAGAAGATGCCCACGGATTTAATGTGCTTATAATTCAGGTGCTTACGTAGACATAGAAAAGAAGATGCACTTTTACCATAAATAAAACACAGGCTTACCATGCCTGGGACACTGAGGACAAACAAACTCGCTGCCAGAGCTTCTCAGCTGCTCTCTGTTCCTCAGGCTCTCCCTGCACTGAGCTCTTCTCCCTCTCCGGTGAGTCCCCTGGTAAGGCCTTCTCTGCCACGTCAGGTTTGGGAGGAGCAGTTCCCCAGACTCCTGGATGCCAGGAGGAACCTGGTTTAATCAGCTGTTGCCTCTTACGCCACTTTATGAGGAGGGCTTTTTTGCAGAGGGACCAGATGGTTCCACTGTAAAGCTTTTGCTCGCCATCTACTCTCGATTCAGCTCCGTTGCCATCCTGGGCACCCTTTGACTGCAACTCCTGCTTCTTCTGCACCAGCAAACATACATGGCAGTGGCTCCGCAGAACCGCCTGGGCCCCTGTCCCTGTCGACAGAGCTTTGCTCAGTGTGTGCCCAGTGCTGTTGCTTGAACCTTCATGAAAGAGGTAGGAACTCAATGTCCTCTCTCATCATCCTCAGATAGCTCTGCTCCCCCTTTAGGTTGGCCAGGGCACACCTCACAGAGTCTGTGCTGTGTTGCCCTCTGTTGCGCCTTACCCTTTTACAGTCTCACCTCTTCCCCATCCTCCCTCTCAAGCCTTTTGGCTTGAGCTGTTGTGTCCTTCCCAACTTGCCTCACCTGACAAGTCACTGGAGTGACCTGCAGATCCTGCACTGGGCACCTCCTTGAGGGCCTGGGCCTTTCCATCTCTGTGTCCCTCTCTTGAAAAGCATTAGGGGGTTCAGGAAGTCTGAGAGGTCTTGGCACAGCCTTAAACTGTTGCACTGTCCCCTTGGCTGGGCACAGCATTAGACAGGAGGCCATGTCAGGGTTTCTCCAAGACCTGTTGGTGCTTGGGGAGCGCAGGTTGTGCCCATGAGTGCCACAGTGAGGGAGCCGTGGCCCAGCACACGGGATAAGGCAGATAACGGCAGCAGAGAAGCCACCCAGCAGGACAAACGGCTTTCTCCACATCCTCAGGCCACTTTCCCTCCACCGCTTCGGCCTCTGCTCCTGGATCTGCAGGTGGGCCAGGGTGGGCTTTGTCGCTGGGTGCAAGAACCCATGTTCAAACTGGGATTTTGGGAAGGAAAAAATGGTTTTTAATTTGATTTTGATGCTGTAGGACGCTGGTTGTATCTGCTGCAATGTGGAGCAGATTGTGGCTTGTGGCTCCAGTGCCCAGGCAGGGGGCACATCTGAGAAGCCGTGCTCAGGGTGCTTTGGGGCATGTTGGTGCCTGGCCCTGCAGCCTCAACCCTGCCATGGCTGGGGCAGAAAGACACCCAGGGTCTGAGCACACTCAAGGGGTGAGGGCAAGGAGGCAGTTGGAGCGGAGACTTGTCAGGTCTCTGAAAGTGCTTGGCTTGATCCTGTTATTCCATCTCATTGCTGCAGACAGAAGCAGTGATTTCACACCCAAAGCAGCACCCATCTGCCCTGCAGAACAAGCTGAAAGAGGGTTTGCAAGATAAGGCTTGTTGTTTCAGCTGATTTCAGTGTTTTAATTTGAAGAGGAATAATGTGTAATCACAACAACTGTCATCTCTTTGACAGTGGAAAATCCTAGATCTTCCATGTTTTTTTTGTGCACTGTAATGGGCAAGCCTTTTAGTAAAGCGAGCTTCTCTGTGCACTTGCATTTGGCGTCCTGGTGGGATGAATGGGTTCAGACCAGCTCACTAATCTAATTTGTAATGTATCCGTATAACATATAATTGGCTGTTTAATTTAATTCAAATTAACATAAGAATAGAAAATATAATCTGCAGTGTAGCCCGCATGGTGGTTGAAAGGGGTGTTGCTGGCAAAGGATTTGGGATGACGGCTTTTGTGCGTGTGACGTTAGACAACCCTTTGTGAGTACGGCTACGTCATCTCAGGCGTGTCAACGAGCACAGTGCGCTACAATAAATCATCACCCCTTCCCACCCTGCTGAGTGTCTATCTGCCTCATCTCCCTTCTTTATCTCTCTAGCGATCTATTTAAAACACATATAGAAGAAATGTAGCCTGCTTTGGAAAATTGTTTGTAGTGATACGGTGTGAAAGCTTGCAGGCGCCAAGTCTGATTATGTTGATTGGATATTGTCTAATCTGATTTTGTACGGCTTTGATTGTAATTTTGATATGTCTGCACAATACTGTAGCTATTCGGAAAGCTATGTCATTTAAACCGATCTTTTTTTCCAAGTTGAATAGAGCAGAGGCAGAAACGTGCAGGGGGTGTGAGCAGGGTGACAGGGTTTTTGCACTCTGTGCAAAACCGCCTCAAAGCCCTTTGGTGAGCTGCTCTGCAGTAATGCAAGAAACTTGTATTTTTGAAGAGAGCTTTAGGAAACTTTGAGTGGGTTTTACATAATTTAGTTAAGTACAGCAAAGCCACTTGCTTATATACCTGATATTAAAATAAACCAGTTGAAGGAACAAGTTTGCTGTTCAATGATTTATTTAAATCCCTCTCCGTACGCCATGGAAGGAAATCCTCTTAAATAACCGGGAAAGAATTGATATACCTCTAAGTGCCTAGCCCAAATGAAAACTTAACTACTAGACTTATTAAGTGGGATCTATCTGTCTGCTTTTGTGTATAGCCTCTCATTCCTTCCGTTTCCAGTATAATACCAATCCTAGACAGAAGCTGGCTGGAAAAGTAGCCGGGCTCGAGTTTCCACTGCACAATAGCTGTTGATACAGAGCTATCACAGCCCGGTCTCTGGTATAATATTTCTTGTGTGCTCATATTCCCACAGAAGCTAGGGGGAATTTCAAGTGGATGTGAGCGGTAGGGCTGGGTGTGCAGTACACGCTCTTTTCTCTTGTGTTTAAAATGGGACGAGGCGGGAGAGAAGGCGAAGGGATCAACTTAGCAGAGGATGAGCCACCCTTCAAACTCCATGCCGCTGGCTGGGGAGCACGGCGGGAGCGAACGCCGGCTCTGACACCTTGCGCCGATGCATCTCTCCCCCAAGGCGATGCCAGACCCCTCCCGCGGACGAGCTCCCCCCAAGGAGCCGTTCCAGATACCCGCAGATAGCTGCTCGCTCCCCGCTGCCTCTCGTGCCAACTGCCGAATTCCAGTTAAATACACTCCTTATTTTATTTTATTAAGGGCTTGTTTCCCTGCAATCTAGGGTGATGAAATGCGTGAATCTGAGTGAGTTCTTGGGCCGTGGATTAATAAAGCCTACAGTGTTTAACTGGTTTTGCACACATCTGGGGTTTTGCTCTTAAATGAAGTATTAAGTCCAAATCCAACCATGAAACTAGGTGATCTGAAAAACTTAGCTTAAAATCCATGTGTATAAAACTATGGCTAATCAGAATTTCATATGCTATAATAATATGTGAAACAGTAGACATTTAGAGTAAGCTTTCTCTGCCAGAGACTCATTATCTTCTGCTTTCATAATTAATGATTTTGGATAGATTCACACTTACATTAGGAGGCAAATACATTTTTATCTCCAGTGCAAGCAATTGCAAAGGTGCAGTGATTTATTCCTTTTTAATATAAATTGGGACACTTAAAAATAAACAAACTGCTAGAAAGCATTGGAATCGGAAAAAGTACCGGCATTTCTGCATGTTTGTCATCTCCTTGCAGGAATGTTGATAGGAAGGTGATGGGAACGCTTGTCCCAGCTGGATGTGGACAAGGCTATGTAAGGACAGATCTCCGTGTGTGGTACTGTCACACAAGCCTTTTTTAAAGTAGTTTAACAAACGTGACAGCTGTGTTTCTAAATCGTTCTCCCTGGTCTTAGCTGTATGCTGGAGCTTGTGAGGAACCAATGGACATTTCGTTCCCAAGTACTGTTCGTTTCCATCGAGGTGGCTGCCTAATTTTCTTAAATACTCTTGAAAATGCCAGCCCTAGGTAATGCATAAGTACTGGGCTGGGTGCATACGGAAGAACTTGATTGTACAAATGCAGCAACTGGTTGGGAGGTGGCGGTGCTCTTTTGTGGCCATTAGCTCTGTGCCCTTTGGCAAGTGCAGCTCTATAGCACGTGGCTTGGCTTTGATCTGTACGGAGAGGTTTCTCCTGCGGTTTTGTAGAGCAGAAGAGAATCTAAAGGGATGCAATATGGCAGAGAGGAGAGCAGTGAGGGATGCCCCAGGATGGGTCTGAGGGGACCTATGGTGTTCCCTGATGGAGCAGCACTGCTACACTTACTGCACAGCTACTACGTAAGTGTGGCTTGCTGATATCTGGGGCTGGAGCTGTCTTTTTAAAAGAAACGTTTTCACTGGAACGTGGTTTTGCATTTCTTACACAAATAAGCATTTGTCTTTGCTAAAGCAACCAGGCAGTGACACGTTGTGAAATGTCTTTTTCATATTTTAGACATATAACGGTCAGAACGAGAATAACGAAGACTATGAAATCCCTCCCATAACACCTCCCAATCTCCCAGACCCTTCCCTCCTTCACTTGGTGGACCACGAAACTGGATATCATTCACTGTGCCACAGCCTCCCTCCGAACAGCCTGATCCCAGCATACCCCTATCAGAACATGGACCTTCCGGCCATCATGGTGTCCAACATGCTCAGCCAGGAGGGGCATCTTCTTTCCAGCCAGCTACCAACGGTGAGTAACTTTCCCCTGTTAGTATCTTTCATGCGAACGCAGGCAATCCTCTGTACGCCGTTAGCGTTGTGAGTAGATTGACTTTAGGAGAAGACTAACGACTAGGTATTTCCAGCTGGGGTTCGGCAAAGCAGGCAACATAGCCCTGACTCGCCGCCCTTCCACGCTCCGAAGTCAGCACACGTTGGCTGATGTTGCCATCACCTGCGTGGTCCTGCTCGCACTGGTGATTTTACGTTTCCAATTTGGTGTCTTCCCAACCCCTGTTAATCCCTGAGTCGCCTGCAGGAGCGGGGGAAGACAGAGCCCCGCCGCTGAGCCGCCACGCTGGCGTGAGCCTTCCTCCCGATTTCAAGGGCAACGAGCTCTCTCCTTGCGCTTGCAAACTTAAATTGCCTTTTGGCTTACGCTGCGGTAAGACGAGATCTTCAGAAGTTTCAAATGACTCTCCAGTAGGGATAAATAACAAAGGGATAACCCATTAAAATGCAGATCCGGAAGAAACTTTTGGGCTAATTAGACCGTAAGACACTTCTGTACCAGTAGCACTAAGGAAAGGCTCACCTCGATTTGGACGGTGGTATTGAATTAATGGTGTAGCTGTTTAATAATATTTTCCTCTTTGGTAGATTTATCTCTACAGTTAGTTTTCTATATTGTTTCTTTCTAAGATCATTGATTTTCATGGGTGCCATTGGAAGGCATCAATATCAAACAGTTAATTTTACTTAAACGGCATGCCTGCAACTCTACAACTGCACTAGCGAAAGAACGTTTGGTGTTGATTGCCTGAATAGATAACAGTCTAAAAGATGGTGATATTTAAATATTTAAGCGGGATATTATCTCCTAGTCTAGGAAAATCCCAAGGCTTTCTAAAGTCTTGATGCCCTTCCAAGTTTCATGGTTAGTATGTTTAAGAAAAATATCATGTTCTGCCCATCAATATTGAACACAGGCATATTTCTATGAAATTAAATATTACTTAGGTCTCTGTGTTAGCTTTTAGGTTCTTAGGTGATTAAAACATTCATTTCTGAGACAAAAAGAGTCAATTTCAGGTGAAATATTTTTCCCTAGTTTAATTTAAAGCACAACCCCTTTTCCTGACCCCTATTTTCATAACATGATAATTTTATCCTGTGTTGATTGTCTCATTTTTGAGAGGTGATATTGCACTTATAAATCAGTTTCTAAAATACCTAAAGAAACAAGAATAGTGGGATTTATTAAGCAGCTTCTGTATGTCTGAAATAATTTATTTTGGAGTAGTCCTTGGGAAATGTTCTCTTTCTTATTTTATGGTACTGTTTTACAAATGCAGCATTGTGACAATAAATCAGGACTGAGCCAGAGAAGATAAGAAGGGGGCTTAGTGGGCTGTAAATGTAGAATGGAGAGATTAAGATTTGTTTACCCTTTACCACTAAAATAAAAAATCCAGTCAACCCTGAATTTTCCAGCTGATGGCGAATTGAAACTGTTTCATTTTTAACGGAAGCCTTTGGAGGTGGAATATATCTCCAAAGGTCCCAGCAGAAAAGGAGGTAGATCAAGGAGTGAACTGTGTTGCAATTTTAGGTCAAAATTAAATCCTATCTTGCCCTCACGTCAAAGCCTTTTTTTTTTCCATGCTATCAAACTTTTCCTGCAGAAAGACAGCGCCTTCTAGCCCATTTTTGGGGAGAGACAGGTCCAGCTCTGGTTTGGGATGCACAGAGTTCCCATCCTCTCCGGCACGGGACCTCAGCTGGGCAATATTCGTCCCAAAGCGCGTGTTACTCTTATTAGCATTAACAGGAGCAGAGCATGCACCTGAGGGAAAAATAAAATCCCAGTCACAGAGCAGGCTTTTCAGTCCCTACCATCAGCACCTCCTGCCCGCGTGCCCGTCACGCCGCGACCCCCCCTTGCTGATGGCCAAGTGAAGTAAAGCGCATGTCAGGCACGACTGCCATGACTTTGCAGGGCATGCCAAGTGCTGCAAACCTTCCCGCAAGTTAACCGCTTTCAGGTGGGTATTTGCAGCAGGAAGCCTTCAGATCAAGGAAGGAACTTGTTTACTAACACTTCCAAAGAGACAGGGTTTATTGCCAGGTGGATGGGGATGGAGAGCTGGCTGGAAAGTGAGTCTGGAGGGAGCGCGGAGGAGGAGGCATACCGAGGTTTTGTCTTTGTTCCAGGACCAACGTTGCTAACGCAAACGCTAAGGCTGTGAGCGTCTCGCCTTGCTGCTGCGCTTTGCTGTAGTTTGTGCTGGTTTTTGCATACGCAGCTATTTCCTGCCTTGGCTGCCATTGCTTTTGGTTTGAAAGCGGTGAAAAATGTTAATGACAAGCAATTCAAGGTGAAATGTTTAGACATTGGTTAGACCTGTCCTCTAAAACAGTAGCTAGAGGCTTGGGATTTTTTAAGGTGTCCTCACGTCAAATCTAGGGTGGCTGAAAAGACATGAGCTAGGAATCCCTGGGAGCAATGAGGATGGGCATTTTCCTCTGCAGCTCAAAAAATGAGTAAGGAAAACATGCGTGCAAGTTGCTGTGTCCTCTTTGGCATGTCTCTTGTCCTAGGACATCACAACGTTCTCCATATATTTCATTAAGCCTCCCAGTGCCTCTGCAAGGTAGGAAATCATTGCCTCCACTATGCAGATAAATACCAAAGCACAGCAAGTTTAAATCTTCTGCAGAAATTCCCAGGGCAAGCTCACAGCCGGAAAGAGCTGCCGAATGCCGGGCTCTGACCCTGGCTCCAGCCTATTCCCTGGCTCCAGGACCACCGAGGTGTCAGGAGCCGGGAGCCCCTCCGTAGAGCTACAGAGCTGCACACCGGCGGGGTGGTGTGCAAACCTAAACCACGGTTTGGTGACCTAAACCATGGTCACCTCTGCATTTGCTTCTCTCTTGATCATCCGTGTCCAAAATGCCCTCCCCTCTGCTGGCCTCTGCTACGTCAGAGTTCGCAATCTCTCCGGTTCCAGCACGAGACTCTCTGCTGCTGTTTCTGTCATTTTATCTCCCTGTTAATATGTTTCCATCAGTTTTTAGAGCAAGCAAAGAACTTTTCAGGCACTGAAGAGAGGAGGAAGGCAGCTGGAGGGGAGCGAGCGCTGCTGGACGAGGTGGCAGAAGATGTGACTTTAGGAAGGGCGACGGAGCAGAGCAGAGGGAGAGCGGGGAGGAGACAGGGCTGGGTCGTTTGGGGAAGGATTGTCGTTTTTTGTGCTTGTGACAAGAAACAGAATGAAAATTCCTCTAAAGCAGGGTGTTTTTCACCTGTCCTCTCTTTTTTTTACAACGGGGAAAGAGGAGTGAAAGAGGAAGAAGGGCAAGAGGGAAGGAAAGCAGGGGAGAAAAACCACGAAAGATGGGATTTTCTTTGAGAAGTGGGAATATTTAGGCAAAAAGATAAAAAAGATAATCAGAAAGGAACAAAAAACAGATCTGCTCTCCTTGGAAAGAAGACGACTTTGCCCACTGTACGCAGCTGAGGGTTTTGTGGCCTGTGCGAGGGGGCTGCCGAGCGCCGCGGGGGCACCCGCGGGACCGGGAGGCCACTGGCGCCGGCCGGGACCGAAC